AGCGAAAAAACTGAGAGCAGTAGTCAAAACACAAGTAAATGACGGCACAATAAAAGTTGGGAGGCCAATTGCCCCAAAAACATTCTCGTATAATACAGTAACAAAAGAGGGCTCACTTTCTGTAAAAGAGGTCGTTGTTTTCGGTCGAAAAATACCATTGGATGAAATACTCGCAAATGAAAATGAAAGAATAGAAAAAGCAGGTATTCTGAGATTAAACCAGGACAGTTATTACGATGAAATGAGCAAAGAAAAAATAATAAATAGACTTAAAGAACTGAATGAAGACAACACTGAAGGCAACACTGAATGTTTACGAAACAAATTAAAAACAATAGAAAGAACAAGACAAATAAAAGTTTGGCATGACCACTCATGTATACTCAACCACACCTACATCAATTTTATGATAAATTATGTATACGACAATGCCAACTTTCTAACAGACAAGGAGTTTAAAAAACAGAATCCAACCTTATCCCAAATTGATTGCCAGAAAATTGTTGAAAAGCCACAACTTTAAATACTTGGGCAGTCAGGTACGATAGAAAAATATGAATATGAACATATGATAAATAAAGGTAGATTGGGGTACTAAATTATTTTGATTGGAAATAATCAGTTTCGATTAGTTCTTCAATAAGCATTTCACAATGTTTGGCTTAACAAGTATTCAAACAAAATCTTTTTTTTTAATTTATCTTATTACCACCCCAGTCTACCTAAAGTACAAATATACAATCTTTAAACTTAAACAAAGAGTAAACAAGAGTGCACACGCTGAAATGTCTCGCCTTCTTTACTAACCATTGATTTTATGTTGATAGTCCTAAATACAAAGATTTACTACAAGTAACACATAAACTTAACATGATCCAAGAAAATGGGGTCAAGGTCAGATAAACTAAACGAGAAATATATGTACACCTTACAATCATTCAATAAACCAAACATAGTTGACCTATTGCTTATTGTTTCTAAGAAACAGTCTTAAACAAAAAAACTTAACATTGACCAATGAACCATGAAAATGAGGTCAAGGTCAGATGAACCATGCCAGACAGACATGTACACCTTACAATCAATTTAGGCATTAAATATAGTTGACCTATTGCTCATAGTAACTAAGAAACAAACTTAACCATGAAAACTTAACATTGACCAATGAACCATGAAAATGAGGTCAAGGTCAGATGATACCTGCCAGACAGACATATACACCTTACAATCCTTCCATACATCAAATATAGTTGATCTACTGCTTATAGTTGAAGAAAAACAAACCAAAACACAATAAAATGCTCCGCTGGGCGCAGCTTGATACGACCGTAGAGGTCAAACCCTGAACAGTTGGGGCAAGTATGGACACAACATTCAAGCTTGATACAGCACTGAATTTGGATTGTGATTAAATATTTGACACAGCATAGGTTTCTGACACAGAATGAATGTGGTCTAAGAACTTAAAAAATTTTAATTTACCTATTCAAACCATATCATTATTATTTGCTTTTATATATAATTCAGAAATACTCAATTTGAAATGGAATATTTTAAAGAAAAAAAAGGAAAAAAAAATCCCTCCCCCAAATTTTTTAAACCCCTTAAGATTCATTACCCCCAAACTCAATCCCAGCCTTCCCTTTGTGGTATGGTACCTTGAAGTACAATTTCAGAGAGATCCATACACTTGAACACAAGTTATTGTCTGGAAACTAGAAAAATGCTTGTTTTTAGGCCCCTTTTTGGCCCCAAATTCCTAAACGTTTAGGGCAATTACCCTCAAACTCAAACCCAGCTTTCCCTTTGTGATATGGAACCTTGTTGTTCAATTTCATAAAGATCCATACACTTACACACAAGTTATAGTCCTGAAACTAGAAAAATGCTTGTTTTTTGCCCCTTTTTGGCTCCTAATTCCTAAAATTTTGAAGCAATTACCCCCAAAATCAATCCCAGCCTTTCCTTTGTGGTATGGTACCTTGCAGTACAATTTCAGAGAGATCCATAACCTTGAACACAAGTTATTGTCTGGAAACTAGAAAAATGCTTATTTTTGGCCCCTTATTCCTCAACGTTTTGGGCAATTACCCCTAAACTCAATTCCAGCTTTCCCTTTGTGATATGGAACCTTGTAGTACAATTTCAGAAAGATCCATACACTAACACACAAGTTATTGTCATGAAACTAGAAAAATGCTTTTTATTTTTGCCCTTTTTTTGGCCCCTAATTCCTAAAATTTTGAGGCAATTACCCCCAAAATCAATCCCAGCAATCCCTTTGTGATATGGAACCTTGTGGTACAATGTCAGAGAGATCCATACACTAACACACAAGTTATGTCTGGAATTTACATAAATGCTTATTTTTGGCCCCTAATTCCTTAACTGTTGGTACCATAACCCCCAAAATCAATCCCAACCTTCCTTTTGTGGTTTTGAACCTTATGGTAAAATTTCATAGAGATCCATTCACTTAAACTAAAGTTATTGTGCGAAAACCAATGTGTCTTCGGACGACGACAACGCCAACGTCATACCAATATACGACCGCAAATAAAAACTTAACACTGAGAAATGAACCGTGAAAATGAGGTCAAGGTCAAATAAAACATGTGAGACTGACATGTACATCATAAAATATTTCCATACACCATTTATAGTTGACCTATTGCATATAGTATTAGAAAAAAGACCAAAACTCAAAAACTTAACTTTGACCACTGAACCATGAAAATGAAGTCAAGGTCAGATGGCACCTACCAGTTGGACATGTACACCTTACAATCATTCCATATACCAAATATAGTAGACCTACTGCTTATAGTATATGATATATGGAATTGACCACGAAACTTAACCTTGTTCACTGATCCATGAAATGAAGTCGAGGTCAAATGAAAATTGTCTGACAGGCATGAGGACCTTGCAAGGTACGCACATACTAAATATAGTTATCCTATTACTCATAATAAGAAAGAAATTAACATTACAAACAATGTTGCCTTTTTTTTCAAGTAGTCACTGAACCATGAAAATGAGGTCAAGGACAATGGACATATGACAGACGAAAACTTCGTAACATAAGGCATCTATATACAAAGTATGAAGCATCCAGGTCTTCTAGCTTCTAAAATATAAAGCTTTTAAGAAGTTAGCTAACGCCGCCGGATCACTTATCCCTATGTCGAGCTTTCTGCGACAAAAGTTGCAGGCTCGACAAAAAGTTTAACTTAAAAAGTTCTATACACAAAAAACAAGTTAACATATTTTTACATATACATAATGTAGTTATAGCATAACAATAAATTTTAAGCGTAATACTTGCAAATATTAACCAAATTTTCACCATGCAGAATTTCTTCCTTCATTTTTAAAATTACAGAAGGACATGATTACAAAAATATGATGACATCCACTAAATTATGTATATCTAAAGCTTGAATTGCTTTTAAAACAAACACAAACAAATTAATCATTTCTTGATTTGTGTACAAAATAAATTACTTTAGAGTGTAAAATATTACTGCATATATATTAAGGGCAAGAATGAATGAACAATTAAAACAATAATAAAGTTTTCAAGATTACTAAACTGATTTAAAAAATAAACTGCATAACCAAGTTTAAAATAATGGAATTTAATACAGCACTTTTTTTTTAAAAGAACTTTAATGTTCAACATGTTCAACTTGCAAGTTTACAAGACAATCAAAGCAAGTAACTTAATCAAGTTAATCCATTACTCATAAAAAATCCTATTTTAGCAAAACAAAAATCTATTGCAATATCACACAACGAAAGTTACAAAATGATCAAAATATTTGGACATCATGGTCATATAACATGAATGTTGTCTTCAAAGTAGTATAAAAGAGCCCACAACATACAGATATCATAAGTTCACTGTAAAAATCATTATAAATTTAACATAAATGAACCACACATAAGAGTATATACAAATACAAAAGTGAATACCGAGTATTATTTAATACTATTGTGTAGCAGTGATACACAGTTGTATTGAAAATAGTACCACAAATAATATTTTCAACCTTCTAATTTGTTCCATATTTTGAATGGCAAGGCCTTTTATAGCAGACCATACAGTATGGGTTTTCTCATTGATGAAGGCTGTATGCATATGGTTGCCTATAATTGTCTAGATCCACTTAATTTGAACTTTGCATATTTGATGGATTGTCTCACTGGTAATCATACCACATCTCCTTATTTTTTTTTATATTAAACTAATATAACCACATTACAACATAATAAAATATTTGTGGCAACTCTACATATGCATCACTATAATGTTTTAATTCTATGTATCAAACTATTTACAGCCAGTACAGACAAAGATCAGATGACTTATATAAATGCAAGGTTAGAGGATATTGAGCTGCTAACAGAGGGGACCACTTACAAGGGCATAACTTTTAACGACAAAATTCGAATTTGTAGTGGCGATAATCCAGCTAGACAATTTGAAAGTGGGCAGCAAAGAGGTGGACAATACAGTTGTCTTTGTGGAGTAGACTCCAAAAGCCATATTAATTTAGAGTTGTGTTTTACACACAAGGCATGCACACTCGAGGAAAGACGTAACATAATAATGCAGGGCAAAATTGTTTCTAAAAAGTTAAAAGAAAGAAATCTCAATCCTTTGAGAAACATGAAAAAAAATGACATAATAGATGAACTTGAAGACAGACATGTAAACACACACACATGGGGTAAACCAAGGCTGCAACAAGAACTAAATGACATTTTGCATGGTATATCCCGTCCACCAGCTCTTATGACATCTGCTTCAGAGAAGTCTGCACAAGAGTTAAATCTCGACAGTTATGAGGTAATGATGTGTGAGCCATTACACGATCTCTCCAATGTAATAATAAATTTCATCAATGAACTTCCACACCATGCTGATAACAATGATGTCAAGGCTGAATTGGAAGCTTTTTCAAGTCACGAACTGACTGAAAGAAATCAAGTAAAAGATGCTGATGCCCGTAAACTTGCTATTAAACTCTGCATATTCATCCAGTCCCTATTTACACAAAAAAAAGTCCCACAAGAATGGAAAACAATGCTAGAGGCACTTGTAGATATTGTACACATCGCATATAGCTCTGAAGCCAGCAGATCTCCTCGTCAGATTCTGAGACTATTCAATTCTACTTTTCTCTTTGCCACTCTTTCAAGATCCATCATAGCTAACCCCGTCAAGATGACATCACGGAAATTTTATGGAAACCATTTTCATAGCACTGTAACACACCTTCCAGAAGCTTACAGAATGATCAACGCTAAATCTATTCTAACAGAAGATTCAGAAAGATCATTTGGTAGTCTGAAAAGAATTTCAGAAAACACTTCCAACAGGAAAGCTGGATACATCATAGAAAATGCTATTATTAGGTACAGGGCCCAGGAAGATGATGATGACAGAGCAGATTCCTCACAGAAACAGGAATCTGAAATTAGTCAACTGGCCAAGTCATTACCACCTACATCCAGGACAACATTACCACAGAATTTCATAAAGGACAAATTTTCATTAGTTCAATGTCATCTTTCCAGAATTGCTGCATTCCTCCTACCAGGTGAAAATGTATGGTGGCACTTTGATGTTGAAGATGTAGTTTTCCATGACAGTGTACAGGATGAGGCTTACCGTCCAGAAGGTCCAAATCTTTCCCATATAAGGTCTACTTCCCTGCAAAATGAGTTCATAAAAAATGAGGAACTTTGGCAAAATTGCATAGCATTATTTGAAAAAAAGGTTTTGTCATTGCCATTTCAAAAACTTAAAATCAGAGGTAAAGATGGAAAAATCAGTTTTTTGACAAACAAGAGAACTCAAGGTATTAATATTTAAAATAAGAAAATAATCATGTTACCAGTACTCAAATATAATATGTGAAGTTTCTGTCTCATTGACGGTTAAATAGAATCAATATCTTATTTTTCTGGGAAATAAAATCAATATTAGTTGTACAACAACTGTTGGTGTTAACAGCTTTGTTGTATTGTAAGGTTGCTGTCTTAAAGATAATTTATATAATAGCACAAGTTCCTAATAATTTCAATTGTAGGACAAGAGTGCACATTTAACCATCAAAAAATTAAGTCGAAGAACAATGTACATATGACAAGACGGAAACTTTGTAACAATAAAAATAACCATATATCACATTTCTTTCAGATTTGGCACCAATACACACAAGGCATCCTAGCAATGACATTGAAGCCAATCAAGGTAAGAAATATAATCGAAAATATAAAGAATAGGATTCATATACACTTGTTTCTTATAGAAAAAAAAATAAAATGAAAATATATTTTCCCAGCTTCTGTCAGTGTTGTGTTGTTATGCTGCTGTCTCACTAACATTTTTAGTTATTCTTTTCTAGAAAATTTAAAACATTCAAACAAAAATGTTTTCACCTCAATAAATATTAGCAAACAAAAGACTTCTAACAATTTCTTACATCTTTTTAGACTTGACACCACTTCCAACCACTCAGTCAAGCAATGAAAACAGCATTATGGGATCAGATGAGCTGGTAACGTCCAACATAGAAACCAACAATGGTAAGAAAAAAAATAATATTAGAAAAATTCATTTGCTCTGTAAAAATATTAAAACATAGTATATTTAACTACTAAATTACAACATACCAAAAACAATGATTTCAATGATTATTTTTACCCTTAGAAGTCAATGTGTATTGTTGTGTTGATTGGTTACTGTTCTACTGTCATTTAAACATTGATTTCATACCGTCCACCATTTTTTCTTAAAGAAAAAAAAATGGTTTTATAAACTTATATATATATAGATATAACAATATCTCACTGTTCGACTGACATTTCCACAACCATTTTTTCCCGCCCGATTTCTAAAAAAAATTGTGTAGAAAAAATGTAGGTCTTATAAACTAGACATATAGCAATATCTTACATTTCTTCAGATTTGGCACCACTAGCCACCTCACAGTTTAGCAATGACAACAGCATTATGGAATCAGTTCAGTCAGAAGCAGAAAACATTGAAGCCAACTATGGTAAGAAAAATAATAAATTACAAGAATTGTATTCAAATTCAGTTATTTGTTCCTAAGAGTAAAGTTACTAAATTCCCCAAAAAAGTGACTATTACTGTATATCTAAATAATTGATTTAATGACAATGTTTACCCTAACAAGTCAATCTGACATTGTTGTGTTGATTGGTTACTGTTCGACTGACATTTGGACATCCAATTTTTATTAATTTCAAGAAAAACAAGCATTCTGAGAGTTATATTGCATGGCAATACATAATCCCCTACCGGGTAAAAATTCATAATACTGGAACAAAATGCTAACTTGTTGTATAACTTGTCATGGGGTAATCAAAAAGAAAATATCAGGTCAATATCTTCAAGCATGACTAAAAAGTTCGGAAAACTGATTATACAAGTGAATTTTTCAAGTCCAAGGACCATAACTCAGCACAAAATTATCAGACCGAAACAAAAAGTAGAACTTGATCTATAACTTGTCATAATAAAACTATACACCTAATATAAAATCAATATCTTCAAGAACGAAGAAAAATGTGTGGAAAACTGATTTGCCGGACGGACGGGTGGAAAATCAGAAATGAATAAAATAATATTTGACTTAGGTTTGACAATAAAATTTTGTGAGTCGGACCATTTTTGCAGGGTCGGTCAGGATTGGGGAAACAAACAATATTTTATTTTAGGCCTAATAAAATTGTGTGGAAAACTTGTTGCTTATATTCTAATCTAGACATATAACAATTTCTTACATTTCTTCAGACTTGACACCACTAGCCACCTCACAGTTCAGCAATGACAACTGCATTGTGGAATCAGTTGAGTCAGAAGCAGAAAACATTGAAGCCAACTATGGTAAGAAAATAAATTCATGATTAATATGATTTAACACTCCTTTTAGTTTGTTCATCTTTTTTATAAAGACAAGAAATTGGACATTTATCATTCATACATGTGCCAACAGCTTCTTTTATTTCAACAATATTAGATTTGTATTTTATTGAATCCATAACAAATAAGTATGTTTTCAATGCTCTCAATTCTATTGTAAAACGTTTCCTCAATACTTCTAACTGCAATAAGACAGAGACTGTAAGATGGATTATTTAAATTTTTAGAACAGAACAAAAGCCCAACAAATCAAGAAAGTCATAAAAATGTAATCACCTTGAGAGCAGAGTTTCATCATGCCTTTGGTAAGTTTTAAAGCATAAAAATCATTGTTACAACCAATAAATTGTCAGAAACTTTGGACAATAATAAGTACTAGACCAGGATTTGAACCTGGAACCTCCTCAAAGTTTGCATTATTTGGCGATTTTTCCCCTGTTATCCGACCTTCCTATTTTTCATGGAAAATATTATATTTTTCAGGGTAAAAATCTTTTCTGTTTATATATTTAGAGTTGTTTCGTTTTTTTTGTCATTGCAAGTAATACCTTGAGTAACTGTTTACCAGGTTTTGCAAGCAAATAGCCATTTGTTTCTAGGAAATTATAAGCCAAAATTCAATATTCTGTGAATATCTTTTTTTTTTGTATTTTTCTTTAATACAATGATATCTTATTGTTATTTTTGGCGGTAGGACTTTTATTAATCAATGCAGGTTTAGCATATCATTGTTTCGACTAACATTTTGTATAAAATGACCAGCCGGAACGGATGGACCTATCAATTAGTTGTCCTCCAGACACAAGCTCACAATCATTGGTATCCTCATTTAAGTTGACTCCAAGACAAGCACTATTCGGTGAACATTTAAACAAACATATCATTCTGCGACGTTGTATTGACGTTGAAAGTATCTTCAGATTGCCGTAGGTTGAAGGAACACCACAATATTGTCCGACAGAAAAAGTTAAAGAATAAAAAAGTATACACCATTTAGGATTAAAGCGCTATAACGTCTTTTATGTGTACGATAAAACTTTTTATAGTTTGTTTTAAACAAAAAAAACTCGAAAAGAAAGTATTGCGATGAAGTTGACTTAATTGAATCAAATTTTCTCTCGTTCCGTTGATTGATAACGGTTGATTTTGTCAGTTTTTATGGACTTTCCCTTTTTAATTTATCTTAGAGTTCGGTATTTTTCTTATTCTTTTTTCAGTGAAAGTTTACGAGAAAGAGGCTGCCAAAAACTTGTGTAAATCAATTTGCGATAACAATAAATATGTTTGTAACAATAACTTATGTTCAATAGAGGATAGATAATAGTAGAAAGTTTTCTGGTCATTGCGTCCGTTTTTTCTGTAATGTATCATGAAAATGTGGCCACATCAATTTGAAACCTAATACACATGTTGGTAATGATATGTACGTAAAACAATGTATTGAATAAGAGTTCATTGAGTATGTTGTTTTTCGTTTTTTATTTGATACATAAATCAGGCCGTTTGTTTTCTCGTCTAAATTTTTTCTTTTTTTGTCATTGTGGGGCTTTTAATGGCTTGGTATGTAATTTGGGTTTTGCTCATTGTTGAAGGTATGGTTAATTTTTTTTTACGCGAGCATGTACATTATTTGGTCTTTGGTAGAAATTTGTCTCATTGACAATCACATATCTTCTTCTTATTTTATAAGGACATGTAAAATTGCAACCTGAGCTGGATATTCTACCATGTAATAATCATTTATGACATTATTTTACTCTTGAAAAAGGTCAAAGCTTATGTTATGTTACTAATAAAACCTGATATACATGTAAATAAAAAAGCAAAAACTTTAAATACCTTCAGAAAAAAAGAAGGTTAAACACTCCATCGGAAAATGTACTATCCATTTTCTGATGTTCTGAAAACAAAACATATTGAAGCTGATTTATAAAAGGTTATTGACTACAGATTCAAAATGATTGATAAATTGAACTTACCTTTAAATAATAAGTTGTATGTGAGAATCTAAAGCAGACAACACTAGAACACTGTAACCATTGATTTTAGGAATGTTAATGCAGTCCCTTAAACGGATGCTTTCGTCATACTTAGAATTGACAACTTCTTTGGAAACAACGGCAGTGATAATTTTGAAATTAAGTTTAACTTATAAAAGCTTAATGGTTAGTAACCGGGCCCTTAAGGATAGAGCTACAGCAGTCTAAGGTTTTGAAAATCCTACTGATTTATATCTGATCGGTATAAAGTTATGCTACATTTCAAAGTCATATAAATAAAATTGAAGATGATTTAACGTTTCTATTCCGATTTAACGTAACGGCCTATTTTTCCGTCCAACTTACCCAAACGTACTTACTTATTACATGTATTGGTAATTTGATCTCGTTCTGAATATGGTTTTACTTTTTACACTGCACATTACACATGTACAAACAACGTTCAATTAAATAGATTGGTTCACTTACTTGAAGGTTCTTTAATCCAGATTCCATCAGATCCCCATCCAGTCATGATCCCGACTCCTTGAATAAGTAATGGGATAGAATCTGTCCAGTCTATTACTGTTTCTGTACCAACTGCAGATTCTTTGACAAGATATATTGTTCAGTCAAGTGTCTATCTGATTTCAAAGGTGCCTTTCTCTGTGCAGCCCAAAATGTCAGGTGTTGAAATAATAAGTTGGTTAACATCATTATACTTTCGACGCAAAGATGTCTTTTGGTTACTTGATTCACCGATACAAATTTCATATAATTCATGTGACTTCAGATCAATAGCAGCAGATGAAAGAATAAAGGCGTCATGACAAGATTCAATTTCAAACCTGAAGAACTGTTTTTCTGAGGGGAAAACACGGTAGTCCGATAGACTGGTGTAGTCATCAAAAACATTAGGTTTCTCAAAAGAATCAGTGTTCCCACTATTCAAGGTTTCAATTCGAATTTCATCTACAATTCAAATGAAAAATCGTCAGGTGTAAAAACCTTTAAGAATAACTAGCTGTTTAATAGAACTAGAGAGAATCACATATACTCCAAAAGAAACAAGATCGGAGCCGTTAACATGGTCTTTTTGACAGTGGACAGCGAACCATCCCTCGCTGAAGACTCTGACGCCAACACAGATATCATTGATGAGGTAACCAGTCTTTCACGGGACGCCCAGATTGAAGAGACTGAAACTGCTCGAAGCGCTTCCGAAGAGGCAGAGACTATTTCATCAGAAAAAACTACGATCGATGATAATTATGTACCTTGGGATGCTGAAGAATCGCCACCGGTACAAGTCAGCCGTTCTGGAAGGGAACGAAGACCACGTGCTATGTTTCGATACGGACAGTTTGAGAAAAGCATGGCTGCTGTTGGACCAACAAGCATTCCAAAGTTGCGACTGAAAGCTGAATATATCTCTTCTTTGGCCCAGACGCGGTTATTTAAAGCATTAGTCAGTGTATGTTTACTTTTTTTTGTTCAAATGTATTTTTGATCCAGTTTAGCCATTTCAATTGATGGTTTATAGTGTGTCTTTTTATGTCGTTATGTTACACTACTGTCTCAGGTTAGGGTGAAGGTTTGCGCCTGTTAAAACGTTTAAACCCTCTGCATTTTTTGCACCTGTCCTAAGTCAGGAGCCTGTTGGTCAGTGGTTGTCGTTTGTTGGTGTTGTTCATATGTGTATCTCGTTTCTCGTTTTTTATATAGATAAGACACTTTTCCTGGTTTTCCTGTTTGAATTGTTCTACACTACTCATTGTGGGGCCTTTATAGCTTGCTTTTCGGTGTAAGCCAAGGCTCCGTGTTGAAAGCTGTAATTTAACCTTTAATTGTGAACTTGATATACATTGTCACTTGGATAGAGAATTGTCTCATTGGCACTCATACCACATCTTCTTATTCATACAAAATCAAGAATATAAGTGCATACAAAACATTTAGCACTTTCGTAAGCAGACATTACAATAAACAAAATGCACATAGATTCAACATAACAAAACCTAACGAACAGGTATTTGTGATGTTTTAATACGATTTTAATTAAATCTGGTTGGTGCTAACATGGTGCATCACCAAAATGGTAAATACCCGCAGTACAAATATCAAAATCATAACTAACTGATTCTAAATGTATAGCGCTACTATACGTTCATATTTAAAATAAGATATATGAAGTATTTATCAATTTATGACTTTATTTGGTATCTAAAATTATTATAAAACATTCATTCTATAAGATAAAATTGAGAATAGAAATACAATGGTGTAATCTAATTGATTGAACTTTATCTGTTTTATATTATTTACTGAATTAAGCCATAAAAGCACAATTTTTAAAGAGAATTTAAATTGTGTTATACTTTCTATTATTACACTTACGTATCACATCTATACAACATTTGAACATGCATTCGTTCATAAGTCTCATAAATTATGTATAAATCTACTTATAGATGTAAATAAATAATATATTAGTGTAGGAAGAATACCTGACCTTCAAAAAATCAAAACCAAACTCAAAAACAGAATATGATTATACATTTTATTAAGACTAGAAAATGGTGTCAATCATCACAGTTGCCATCAAGAATATAAACGTTCAGTCAAACTATCAATACCAATAGAAGCCAATTAAAAGCCAATTAAAACACCAGATTAAAACACACATGAGCGAACCTGAACTTAACACTCAGTATAGTTTAACTTTAAGTTAAAAATATGATACTACGGTATCAATTATAATATCTTCTGAAATAAAAAAAAGTAAGAATATAAATATAGAAATATCAAATTAACGCATAGAATACAAATATACTGAAAAGTAAGATAACAAAAATACCGAACTCCGAGGAAAATTCAAAACGGAAAGTCCCTAATCAAATGGCATAATCAAGAGCTCAAACACATCAAACGAATGGATAACAACTGTCATATTCCTGACTTGGTATAGGCATTTTCCTATGTAGAAAATGGTGGATTACACCTGAATTTATACCACTTCACCAAAGAAATATCCCGTTTTATTTTTACAACAATTTCGATATGCACATCAAGGGCGTATCGTGCGCACTTGTCATAGCTGTTTATTTTATCTTTTATCATATGATCCCGTGTTTAGTTCTATATATCATAGATAGTCTCGAAAATATTTATTAAAAATGTGTTAAAATTTTGGCTGCGTATTTGTCTTATCTTATAATTGCACGATGCATATTTTACAGGTTTTACATATAAGAGAGGCTAAAGATACCATAGGGGCATTAAAACTCATAAGTCGAAATTAAACTGACAACACCATGGCTAAAAAAGAAAAAAATACTTTTATTGAAAAATGTGTTATATTATTCAATATAAATTCTTCTTCTTC